GTATCATTCAGTAAGCAGTAACAGAGGCCCTTTTTATTTTAAAATACAAATATGACACTTTAAATAGTCAAATGGATATTATTCTGCAAAATGGTTACCTTAAGACATTATATTACAAATACATGCTTTATTGAAAGCCAAATCATAGGCTACTGAAGTCAGCAATTCTAAGAGAAAAATCAATGATACTATAGCACCAGTCATACCAGACAAACAGATTTGAATACAAATATCCTTCTCTATCCTGTCTATTAATAATGTATTTTAAAAAATATTTTATTATTTTTATTTTGTGTGTATGCATATATTGCCTGCATGTATATAAGTGCACCAGTGTTGTGCAATGTCTGCAGGGGTCAGAAGAAGGCATCAGATCCTCTGGAACTGGAGTTATGGACAGTTGTTAGCTCCCATGTGGGTGCTGGGAACCAAACCTGGTCCTTTGCAAGAGTAGCTAATGCTCTTAACCACTGAACCATCTCTCCAGTCCCAATATTTTTTTAATATATATTCACCTCTCTCCAAAATTACACTACTAGGCTAGCTGCAGTGATGTACACTGTTAATCCCAGCACTCAGGAGGCAGAGGCAGACAGATCTCTATGAGACTGAAGCCAGGCTGGTCTACATAGTGAGTTCTAGGCCAGCTGAAGCTATAGAGAGACCCTGTCTCAAAATAAATATAAACACCACCTTCCCATTACAGCATTAAAAAATTGAATACTGGCTATTGACAAAAGCACTTAAAGGAACAGGTCACTGATAATTGGTGGTAATATTTTGCATATACATAAAATAAAATAATAAATAAATTTTTTTAATTGCTTCCAAAAGTAAAGGCAATAACCTGTAATCTTTGGGGGTGTTCTATGGGTTGTCACTGGCCAACAACTCCAAAACAAATAACCCATTCCTGCCACTGAGCTTTTTGTTGTTAGCCTGTGGTTTATTTGTATTTGTTAGGTCTTGGTAAGCCTCTAAAACTTAATAGCAATTCCCTATCACTGAAGATACTAAACACTTGAGTCACAGAACACACAAAAATCAAGATGGTACTGACCTAGAAGCTTCATCCCTATTAGCTAACTTTCACAGTGCTGGGAAGGTGCTAGGTACAGTACCAGAGAAGGAAAGTAATCATCAGTCTTACAAAGTCATGAACCCTGTGAGTTATAATAACTACTTGCCAGACAAGACATGCCCACTAGTGCAATAGTGGCACAACTGTAAAGGGAGTAACCAACTAATTTCTGATTAGATTTAAGACCTGTTCCACAAGACAGAACTCACACCTGACACTATTAGAGTTAAGAATCTATGACTAGACAAGTCACAGGCCATAGAGGCCCAATTTACACACATGAATTCACAGCAGTTGTGAATAAGCACAAGACTTGCACAAGCTCATGTCAGACAAAATCTCAACATGGAGAGGGGCGAACACAGAGTCCCATCCCTAATTGAGGCACTATTGGAAAATGATAGCTGCTAGGAAACAAACAGTTTTCTGTAAGGGTGTTGTCCAGTGGCCCAAGCTGACCATGTGCCAATGGATAGCCACACACCCAAGAGCACATGGGCATCACAAACTGGATTCTACGTTTTTTTTTAAAAAATGAGGACACAAAGTTGACTGGGTAGGGAAGTGAGGATGGATCTGGGAGGAGCTGGGGGGAGTATGAAAATGATCAAAATACATCATTTGAAATTCTGAAAGAATAAAAAGCTCATTAGCAAAAAACTGTTTATTTTACTTACTGCTAGTTAAGTGTATAGTTTCCCACAAGGACAATTTAAATTTAGATATGTGAGTTCAAGTCTGGCTCTTTTCTTTTAAAAACTCCTATGATATATGAGCATTTGAAAACTGCCCTGTTCTGACTTTTTTCTAGTTCCCTGTCTGGAACTTTCTTCTCCCCTTAGAGACAAAAGTTATGCAGTTTGGGAGTCTTTTAGATAGACCCACTGAAGGGTTACCTCAGTTGCCTCACCCTGCATCCCTGTTCACCACGGAAGAAGCCAGAGTGGTTGGCATCCCTATTCCCTATTGGCAATTTGGGTAACCCCTTCAGAGGACGGCGTGATAAGAATAGGAGGTAGGGAACTGGCTAGGCAGTTAGGATAAAAAGACCCCAAAGAAATGTAGCCAGTTTCTTGACTAAAAGTCAAAATGTCCTTGGGCCTGTTAGCAACATACTCTGTTCCAAGGCCAAAAATGTCAAAAGTATTTGGGAGCTTGTATCTAATCCTTAAAAGATTTTAGGGTTACCTCTCCAGAGGGGGGAATGTTGGAGGGGAGGGAGTGGGTATGGATTTGATAAAAAAACTTTACATGCACGTATGAAATTCTCAATAAAGTTTTTGTAAAAATTAAAAAAAAAGTCCTATGATATTATAAACCTGTCTTACATAAAAGAATTCTCTACTCCAAGGAGCTAATTTTATAAATAAAAACAAGCAAAAAACAGAAAAAAGTAATAACTGCTATAAGCATATATTTTTTAATGTTTCCTGTAAATACTGAAATCATCCTATTAATCTAAGTTTCATACCATTTACAGCTTTTTCAATCAACTCTTCACAAGCATCAAAGTCACCCTTCAACACCAGTTTGTCGTGCATATCTGTTAACATTGGATGCTCCAAAGCAATCCTGGTTTTCTTTTGCAGGGATTCAAAAGCCTCTGTGTAGTTATGTTGTCTGAAGTGTTTCAGGCAAAGGCGAATTGCTTCCTGTTCACGGTACTACTAGAACACAGGAAAAGTAGGAAAAACAGAGGTCTGCTTAGTTGCAAGGATAGGAAATAAAGAAAATAACTGAACTGAGATTCACTATTTACCAAGGACTATACTTTACTCATTCATTAAGTTTCTTTATTTTCACCTTTCAAATAATGAAACTGAAGCTTAAAACTACTGTAATAACTTGCCTAAGGTCACAAAGTATGTTACTAAGAGATCAAACCAGAACTAATTCAAAAGCCAGAACTAGGGGAAAGAAAAAAAAAAAAGCAACATATATATATATATATATTTAAGCCCACATAAGACTATGAAACTGGCAATTCCCATGACATCTACTAATAACATTATATGCAGGTGCTTGCTAAAAGCAAGGAAAATGTGAATCTGAAAGTGAGCACCCAATTTACAAACCATATTCTTTAACAGGATGAATGCCAGAAATAATATAAGCTCACAAAAATAATTTTAAAACAACTTCAAAAATATGTGCTGGGGGCTGGAGAAATGGCCCAGCGATTAAGAGCACTGGCTGCTCTTGCAAAGGACCTGGGTTTGATTCCCAGCACTCACATGGCTGCTAACAACCAAACTTCAGGTCCAGGGGATCCGATGCCCTCTTCTGACCTCCACAGGCATTGCATGCTGGAATTACCTCAAATTTTCTAAGTATACTGCTATACAGTAAGAACTAAGAAAACAGATGACACAAAAACACTAAATGACCAAAAAAAAAAAACCAAAAAACAAAAACAATGACTTACTTACAAGCATTACCCCTGAATAAGGGAAGAAAGACCCAAAGACTTGAAACACAGCCAGTTTATAGTTACCTACTTCTCAACTAAAAGGTCATGAAACACCTACTCCTTATACACTATAATCATCAAGGTTTAACCTCATCGAATAATTAGACATTTCTTTTACTTTGGGCCTCTTTAAAAAAGATTTATAACTATCTATATAACCACAGCTATATTAAATAGCAACAACTATTTATCATGTTAACTTTTGGCGTTTCAATTATGTCTACATATTAAATTATCTATCAGGCTATAAAACTAATGCACTAAAAATTATATTCAAAATATTTATGTCACTACAGATTAAAAACAAAACTGAGGGCTAAATGGATATGATAGAATAATGACAAACAGTGGGGCTACGGAGCCATGCTCCCTGAGTTCAAATACTGGCTGGAACATTTACAACTATGTGAACCTAGACCAAATATTTAAGCTCTCTGAGCTTTTTATTATTATTTTCAACACTTTAAATTGGTCACAATGAAGAAACTGACAGTTCTCCCTCGCTGGGTATTAATCATAAAGCACAATTTTAAAGTACAGTCCTACCTTGCTGTACCAGTTCAGACAGGGTTGTACTATATCAGGATCATCAATGCCACTAAGTTCAACATACCAAATGCTAAAATTAAAGCTGGGTCCCCAAGACAAAAGAGGAACTTTAAGGAGGAAAAACAAAAAGAAGAAAAAAATTAACACAGTTCAAATAAAACTTGAACAAAGTAAAATCACAGGTGTTCACATTTATATTTATTGAACAAACTCTGTATATCTACTATATGCTCAGCACTTTGCTATGTGCTAAGGGTACAACAGCATTTATCTGTCTGGTATGATACCATACACCTGTGCTTCTAGCACTCAGGCACTAAGGCAAGAGAATCAAGAGTTCCAGGATAGCCTGGGCTACCAGTGAGACTCTGTTTCAAAAGGACAACAAAATCTCATTACTATTTTTAACAACAACAACAAAATTAAGTGTTGAACTTTAAAAGGATGGCTTGTTATTGAAAAAAACTGACCCATGCTATTATGAGGTTATCTTAGTTCATAAAAACGCTGTAAAAATAAATTCAAAGTGATCATATATTGCCCCTCAAATAAATACAACCAGAATTAGATAACATAACAGGTAGAGTTTTCTGATACTCCATATAACAAAAAATCATTTTTAATTACATCCAGGTATAGAATTAAAATTTCAATTATTTATTAGTACACAGTCTTGAAAACAAAAAGATTTAAGACTAATCTCAGCTATGAACACATATCCAAATTAAAGGGGGAATACAAAAGAATTTAACAGGCTTTCTTTGTAACAAAAAAATTTCAAGTAATACAAGATGGTTCAATAAAGAGATGTAGTGATGCCATTTATCACCTTAGCAAAAAGCTAAAAGAAAACAAATGTGTTCAGTTACCTTTAAAAAGCATCTTAAGCTTTATACATTAAACACGAGGAAATATTAAATACTCCTATTCAACTCAGAACAAGACAAATAGGTCCAATATTTCTACTATTCAACACTATCCTAGAGATTACCTGCCACTGAGTTGCTCTTCTGTTCCTCTACTATGAAAAACTAAAAGCTATAACTATATTTAGAAACTGTGCTAACGATAAATTTGTTTTTATAATAAAGCAAGCTTTCACACACATCACTGTAGACTATAAATGTGAAGCATCTAAACACTTTGTTTCTTCTTTTTCATGTATATGTGTCTGTGGTATGTGTGCATATGCATATGCATGTTTTATGTGTGGTGGCAAACCTGTGTGGGAATGTGTGTGCACATGTGTACATGTGTATCTGGAGGCCTTAGGTTAATGTCGAGAATCTTCCTGGATTACTCTTTCACCTTATTCTTTGAGGTAAGGTCCCTCAATTAAACCAAAAGCTCAGCAGTAAGGTTAGTCTGGCCAGCTTACTCAGGGGTCCCCTGTCTCCATTCGCCAAGGCTGGAACTGCAGGCAGGTTGCCACACCTACTTAGCATTTATGTGAGATCTGGAGAACTAAACTAGGTCCTGCTGCCTATGTGGCAAACATTTTAACCACTGAGCCATCTCATCAGCCCCACTTTTTTTTTTCTTTTATGATGAATTCTAACCACTTATCCCAAACAGATATATATCTGTTCTAAGCCATCAAAAGCTACATATCACTTTAAGTCCTTTATCACAATGACCTTCAAAGAAAATACAATGATAAGCAAAAGTACTAACACAAAGGCCTTTAGTTTTACAGTTTCTGTATATTAATTTAAAAAAACTAAAGCTAATCAAAAGCATAGTGGAAAGAGTTGGAAAGCAAACACGAGGCAGACCAATATTAGTATCTTTCAGCAAATAAGTTATCTAAATAACTAGATAAGTTCTAGATAATATTTTCTATATACCAAAGTGGCTAATAAATGTCTACAATCCTTTGGAAACTCCATTTAACTTTTTTTTTGGTCTTTTTGAGACAGGGTCTCCCTGTAGCCCCAGCTGGCCTGGAACTCACTTTGTAGACCAGGCTGGCCTTGAACTCACAGAGATCTGCCTACCTCTGCCTCCCAAGTGCTGGGACTAAAGGCGTGCGCCACCACACCCAGCTTCATTTAACATTCTGCTTGAATAATATTAATCTAACTCTGGGCTAAGTAAAAAACATTTTTTAATATTTTATTTATTATTTTTATTTTATGTGTACTAGTGTATTGCCTGAATGTATCTGAGTGCACCCGTGTCATGCAATGCCGTGGAGGTCAAAAGAGGGCTTCAGATTCTCCTGGATCGAACCCGGGTCCTCTGCAAGAGCAGTCATTGCTCTTAATTGCTGAGCCATCTCTCCAGCCCCCCGGAAAAAACATTTTTATAATAAAAAAGCTGAAGAAGAAAATGAGGAGATACTGTTCAAACAATCCAAAGCTTCGGTTGAACAAAAATAACTTCTAGGAATCTATTATATAGCATGGTGACTACTTAACAATATCTGGCCAGGCATGGTGGTGCTTGCCTTTAATCCCAGCACTCCAAAAACAGAGGCAGGGGGATCTCTGTGAGTTCAAGGTCAGCCTGGTCTACATAATGAGTTCCAGGCCAGCTAGGGCTACAGAGAGACCCTATCTCAAAAGGACCAAAAAAAAACCAGATCTTAAATGTTGTCACCACATACAAAAAACTAAACATATGAAGTAATGGATATTTTAGTCTTTTTTAATCATTCTTTTTTCAGAATGCATAGATCAAAACATCAAGTACAATACACCGTGTATAAAGGTGTATATGTATATATATATTTAATTATTTGTCTATTTTACCTTAATAAAGCTGGAAAAATAAAACCAACCTAGTCACTCAGCAAAAAAGAAAAAAGAAAAGTGTGGGGCAGGGACAGGAAGAGTTTCTACTACCTGCCTATATATTTGAAACATAAGACTAGAATTGTAAAGCTGTACGATGAATTTTAGGAACTGGTAATCTAAAACTAAAAAACTACATGCTAGTACAAACAAAGAAAATGCCAAGAATTAAAATTCGTACAAAAATTTTTGATGAATTATTGCCAGAAAATAAGAATTGGCTTTCTTTACAATTATTATAACAATAGAAGAGTTACAGAATAAAATAATATATCAGACATCCAACTAGTCCAAAAAGTTTTCCCTACATAAAGTCTTTATTAATAGTTTAGACATTTTTTTGCCCAGTATTTGTTTTTATTTGTCTGATCAGTTTTATTTGCTTTTGAAATGAGATCTTCCTATGCTGTTGAGACTGACCTAGAAACCCCTATGTAGCCCAGGTTGACCTCAAACCCATGTTTCTCCTGCCTGTGCCTCTTGAGAGCTGCGATTACAGGAGTGTGCCAACATATCTCACTATCTAATATTGCTGCTGGACTATTAGGTATACAGGAGAAATGTAACTACAACACAAGTGCTTGTTTAAAGGCTTTAATAAGTCGATGTTTTGCTGGGACTTAAGATAGGTACGCTATTTTCCACTGCAAGTCTTTTGTGTTCTCCAATACTCCTTTTGAGTCAACTCTTGTGATGATAAACAAGGACCACAAAGAACGTTACTGTTATAAAAGAAAGTGTCTCTCACATCAAAATGTGGGATTCTGGCATTTATTACTGTTCTTTACAGAATTTGACTCACTTTAATTCTAATTTTAATACAATATTATTAAAGGTCTGGAACAGACATGGAAACCAAGAGATTCAAATCTTTAACTTCAATGTTCCTATTTAAAAACAAACAAACAAAAAAACCCTAAAAATTAGGGGCTTGCAGGATGTGGTCCATGCACTAGAGTTTGTGGATCAATGACATAAAAAGCTGTTTTAATTCTAAAATCTAAACCTTACACTAGAGTTTGTGGATCAATGACATAAAAAGCTGTTTTAATTCTAAAATCTAAACCTTACACTAGAGTTTGTGGATCAATGACATAAAAAGCTGTTTTAATTCTAAAATCTAAACCTTACCAATTTTAATGAATCGACAAGGGAACATCTGTTCATCAATTTTATGTTTCAAGGTAAATGTCTCTTTGTTATAATCATTCTTCAAGCCACTGTGGAGAAAGAAAACAAAATATGTTATCAAATCTGATGTCATAACACTAAGACAAGGACTAATCTTATGTTCAGATTTTAAATTTAAACCAATGCTCACAGTATATGATCAAGATAATTTAGATTAATAGAGGCGAATAGTGGTTAAAACTTGCACATTCAAATCAACTATATCACTATTTTTACTACATGAGCTAATGAAGAATGTTCCATACCAACTACAATAAACAGTGTGGGCAGGTACATGGATATGACTGACAGTCTTTAATGTGTAATTTTTTTTGGGGGGGAGGTCTTTTTGAGACAGGGTCTCCCTGTAGCCCCAGCTGGCCTGGAACTCAGTATGTAGACCAGGCTGGCCTTGAACTCACAGAGATCCGCCTGCCTCTGCCTCTCAAGTGCTGGGATTAAAAATGTGCACCACCACGCCCGGCTTTTAAGTATAATTTAATCTGATAAGATTTTCAAATAATAGGAAAGAAATTAAAAACAACTTACAGCTATATCTTAAAAGTCAAATATTAGAACTTATTGAATAAATTTCTTAATTATCCTTTTATAAGTCAACAAATTTTCAAAGACAACTGTATTGTTGACTAAACAGCATCTCCTTTATCCTAAATAAAAACTAAGCCGAATCACTCATTGTTTAACCAAGATTAATACAAGTACTTATAAGAAAACCATTTATCTTCACACTAAAATGTTTTCTGACTTAAATCAGGGCATAAAATTAGTATCTACATACATAAAATATCTTCTTAATGGGATAACCATGTCATAAATACACCCTAAATCTGCATGGCTTTTCACTGACTATGATTTTCCAAGTGGCAAACATTGTGCTATGTGTAGTCACATGTTTGTTTTTTCATTACAGAATACATAAAATCTTAGAATACTAATTCTAGATTAGGACAATCAATGTTTTAAGTAGGGTTTATATTTCAATAGCCAAGGTTTTGTCCTTCCAACCCAACCTACATTTCTAGCAAAAAAAGGGGGTGGGGTGGGGAGAATGGTTTGTTTATTCATTAGTTTGTTTAGGCAGTGCTGAAAATTGAATCCAGACCTTAGGCCAGGAATATCAGAGAGTTTGAGTAAAGCTGAAAGTATTTCTAAAGTTATTAACAGATCAAATTATGAGTGGGGGGGGGGGAAACAAAACATTTGATTCTTTCTCTACTGGTAACAATATTAAGTAGTATCTGGTCCTATTAACTCAAGTCACGGTATTAACAAAGACACTAGGAGTACAACAGGAGAAATATTCTTTACTCCTGGGAGAAGGGCATGAAGATCTAGTTACAAAGAAAGTAAATTAAGTCATTGTAGTATATTTAGAAGATCGCCTTTTCTATCCTACAACCAAACTCACCTGGACAACAGCTCTGTCATATTTTCTTCATTCATTCCACCAAAGACTTTAAATTTCTTCAAATTACAGACATGGGTTTTCTCATATTTTCCAAATGTAATATTCTGAACTATAGCAGGCCTTTCAAGCTTCAGAATCAAGTACTGGGGAAAAAAGAAACAACCAAACTATATATTCCTCTGCTTAAAACAAGTTAACAACTTTATAAAAGTTATAACTTTTGACAGCTAACAGAGTAAACTCCATCCTAGAATGGTAGGTGTGGGATTTTCTGTTTTGTTTTAAGGAATAGTTCATAACACTCTTATAATCACTGTTACCACTTTCACTCTCACAAAGGCCAGAACTTATATTATCCTGAATGCTGAAGACACAGAGGAAAAAAACTAGAGACACAAACTCTAATCAATGAATGGTACTGAATTAAAGATATGATCAGACTAGAAATAATCAAAACCAGATTAAAATCAAAACCAGATTAAAATACAAAAATAACAAGCATTCCCATGGACTGCAGTACAATGGCTAAATCAATGTTTGAAAACAGTGACAAAGTCTGAAACCTAGAAACAAGTCTGGATTTACTAGCCAATCTTTGCCAACACGGCTAATATTAGAGTTAAAAATTCTGGACTTGCTAGAAATGTTTTTCCCATACACACTTGATAAAATGAAACTATCAGTGAATCAGGAAAAATATCACAGATTTTTTTTTTTCAATTACAAATTGTGAGGAGGGCTGGCGAGATGGCTCAATGGTTAAGAGCACTGGCTGTTCTTACAGAAGACCCAGATTCGAATCTCAGCACACACATGGTAGCTAACAACCCTCCCTAACTCCTGTTCCAAGGAGATTCAATGTTCTCTTCTGTCCTCTGTGGGCACTACACAATAGGAGTACACTAACATACACATAAAATAAAAATTCAAAAAATATTTTTTAAAATTAAGGAGAAAATTACCACTGATTTGATTTGAATACATGTAAAAAAAACTATTCAGAAAACCAATTCAGTTGTTTTACTAGAAAGACATCATTCATGACAATATGGATAATGCAGGGGATGAAGATGGTAAAAATGAAGTTGGTGGATCAACATCATATATACATCTTGTTATATATTTAAAATTGATCAAAACTTATTTCTTAGGGGGAAAAAAGAGTTAGAAGCAACAAGTGTCACTTTAAAACCCTATACAAAAACACAGGAGCAAGTTTTCGTGGCATTAGATTCAATAGGGGATTCTTACACACAACACCGAAAGTATAAACAACAAAGTATAACACTGAGCACCAAAATTAAAACTTTTGGAGTTGGGAAGATAGCTCAGTCAGTAACATGCCTGCCAGGTAAACATGAGGATCTGACTTCGAATCCCTGGCACCCACATAAAAAACCTGGTATGATGGTCCATATCTGCAACCCCAGGGCTGAGGCACAAAGACAGAAGGATCCTGGAGCTAATAGGTGTAGTGAAAGACCCTGTTTCAAATATGGGGTAAAAAGCGATGGAAGAAGATATCTAATACTGACCTCTGGTCTCCACACATACATTTATGTGTGCACAAATCAAAGAGATGGAAGAGAAGGAAGGAGAAGGGGAGAGGGAAAAGAAAGGAAAGGAAAGGAAGTGAAAAGGAGAAGAGATGAGATGAAAGGATGAAGGGGACAGACCAGAATGGTATGGGCTTCGAGAGGAGCAAACAGTGTTAACATTATGCATAGAAGAAATAATTGATGGGATCTGGTGGCAGATTGGCTGTAGATAAGGCAAAGTATCAAAGATGATTTTGTTGTAGGGTTGATTAAAAAGGACAGCCTCATGTACTCTGATGGGACAGACTATGGCAAACAAGAAGTAAATGAGACAGTTAACATCCAGAGTGTGCATCTATGTAAGTTTAAAATCACTTTAGGGCCCTAAAACAACAGTGATGAATTTCTCATAGTTTCACTAGACACTTCTTCCACTAGTAGTATCTCCTGGATACATTTCAGTTGGTGGACTGGAACAAGAACAAGAGTTAGTGGTAGGAGATGGGGAAGACAAGGCATAGTTGGGACTAAGCCTCTCCATTGCAGTTTACATTCTCAAGAATAGATGGATGGGCTTTCCTCTGTACACAGTAGCCTCAGAGTTCCATCAAGCCTCGCTTACAAGTTGTAATACCACTTCCTTAGAATTTCCTGTTAGTCAAATAAGTCACAAGGCCAGGCAAAATTTATGACATGAATGAACAAACTTGTAACTCTTGCTGGAAGGAACTGTAATTTATGAGTTTATAAACATATTAATAAATTTGGGCCCTATTTTTTAAAGAATCATTTTTATTTTTAAAATTATGTGTATATATGTATATATATATTTGTGTATAATATGTACATTGAGTACAGGTAATTGGAGAATCCAGAAGAGGGTGTCAGATCCTCTGGAGCTGGAGGTCTAGATGGTTGTGAGCCACTTGATATGTGCTGGGAACTAAACCCCACTCCTCTGCAGCAGCAGTACATGTTCTTAGAGAGGAAGGAGGTATAAAGGGGAGGGGATACTAGAGCACATGTTACAAAAAGTAGCAGGAAATGCTGGGGGTGGGAAAGTTTAATTGGAGATGGGGAAGGAGTGAAACGTTAAACCAAAACCAGGGATGTATGAAAAAGTCACCCAGGACTACACAGTGAGACCTGCCTCACACACACAAACTAAAAAATAAACATTGGCTGGGCAGATTTCTCAGCCAATAAAATGCCTGCCATGTAAGAATGAGGACCTGAGTTTGGATCCCTAACACCCACATAAAAGTCATGGCATAAAAGTATGGCAGCATGCATGTGTAACTCCATCACTGGGAAAAGGGAATGGGCGGATCTTTGGAGCTCATGGGCTGGCCAGCCCCACCCAATCACTTAGATCAAGCTCAAGGTTCAGTGAAAGACCCTATCTCAAAAAATAAGGTGAAGAGCAATTAACAGAGACGTCTGACATCAACATTTGGCCTCCATATGCACAAACATGTGTAGGCATACATACACGCACACATGAACATATGCACGCAAGCACAAATGAACAAACCCTTTAAACAGACATTTTACCAAAGAATCTTTAGAACAAACAACCATACCAAAAAAATCATTATTTTTAAACTCAAAACAACTAAGACTTATACATTAATTTTCAATGCATCTGTATATATTGGGTTTTTGTTTTTGTTTTTCTGAGATAGATCTTCCTGTTGCCCCACCTGGCTTGGAACTTGGTATGTAGACGAGACAGACCATGATCTCACAGAAATCTGCCTGCCTCTGCCTCTGAGGTCTTGGGATTAAAGGTATGTGCAACCACACCCAACACATTTATATTTCTAATAGTAAAAATCCAAATGCAATACAATGCTCAACTGATACAGAGATCAACAAACTGTAATATATTCACACAGGAGAATTTAACTATGCAACAAAAATGGATGTCTTATTGATGAAAACTATAAAAGAAACTAATCTTCAAAAATATTTCAAATTTATTCTTTGACAGTTTCATACATGTGCATAGTTAATTTTGATCACATTGATCATCTTATCCCCTTCTCACTCCCAAACAACTCCTCCTTCCCAATAGGTCTCCCACCTGCTTCCCCTTTTTTTTTTTTTTAATGACTCACCATAGTTGATTAGGGTGGCTAATAAGATAAGCTTGGGTCAGGGTTAGTTACTGGAATATGTGTAACTTACAATCCTCTACACCACTGAATAAAATGACTCCCTCTCCCCTAGCAACTATTAATTGCAAACAGCTTCCCAAAACTTCCCCATGCAGTCTAGAACAGGTAACCACAGTTGCTGTGAGTTCATGCACACTGGGGCCATGTCATGTCCAGAAGACAGTGCTTCAGAGGACTCCTCTCCATCCTCTCGCTCTTACATTTTCTCCACTCCTTCTTCCACAATGTTCTCTGAGCCTGGGGGCAGGGGGTGATATAGATGTCCTGATAAGGGCTGAACATTCAACGATCAACTTATTCTCAGCACTCAGACCAGTTATGAGCTCACTGCAGAAAGAAGTTTCTCTGACCAAGTGAGGGCAGCCCTCATCTATGGGTATATATTCAGAAGATTGGAACTTGCCCATTTAGCAAAACAGCAGAAGTAGCACCCTCTTTCTACTATCCCAGGACCTATGACTTCCACAGTGCCTGTAAATCAGATCACAAAGCAGTTAGTTACATGAAGTATTACATTTATCTATTTGTATTTCATGCCACTATTGCACCAGTGGCCCCATGATGCCTGGCAGGTCAGTACTGTAGCACAAAAGGTTCACATCTGGGTAAGACTGCTGATGACATCCCTGACAGGAGCCTGCAAACACTTTCCAGCACTACTAAAGCTGGTCAGCAGGGAGAAAGCTTCCAGGGGAGGGCTCTGGGTACTGACTAACAATTCACAGGGAAGTATCCCACACTTGGCACTGGATTTTCAGTCAACAGCCTATAACTTCTGGCTGAGGCCAGAAAGATGACTCAGCAGGCAAGGGTGCTTGCTGCCAAACCTGATGTCCTGATTCCATCCCTGGGACCCACAAATGGGAAAGATAAAACTGACTCTGACTTATACACACATACACACACATGCATGCACATATGTAAATATACGTAATTTAAAAACAATCAAAAGAAAAACTAAAACTATGACTTTTGACAGTAGCATTATCCATCCATGCAGGGAACATCCATTCACATTTTTAGTTTAACACACCCCTCCTCCTTCCCTCCTTCTTCATCTCCAATTAAACCGCCCTACCTCGCCTCCTCTCTAATGGCCCTTTTCTAAGATCCTAGTCTCTACAGATACTCCAAATTAAATGCACAAATCTAAAAATTCAAAGTTGGGTTCTGCTTCTGAGGGAGAGCATTAAGCATGTGTCTTTCTGGGCCTGGGTTATCCCGTTTAGTATTTTCCAGTTCCATCCATTGTCCTGCAATTTCATAATTTTATATTTCTTTACAACTGGATAAAATTCCATTGTGTATGTGAACCACGTTTTCATTCATTGGTTGATGGACATCGAGGCTGATCCCATTTTGTAGCTGTTGTGAGTAGAGCAGCAATGAACATGGGTATGCAAGTACCTCCGTAGCAGGATATAG